TATACTCATAGATTTGTGCCTTGTCCAATGGTCATCAAAGAGGCTTCCTCCAGCAGCAGATGGGAATTGGTGCAGACACCATAGCCATAAACTATGCAGAGAATCTAAATTGGAGGTCTCAGAAGTCTCTGTCATTCCCCTCCTCTCAGAGATCAGGACAATCCATGGAAGAGGGGGAGGAAAGATTGTAGGAGTCAGAGCAAATAGAGGACACCAAAAGACCATAGCCCACCAAATAAACTAAGCAGGGCTAACAGATGCTGACAGAGACAGAAGAGGCAAGCAAGGATCCTGCACGAGTCTGCACCAGGTCCTCTGTATATACGCTATGGCTGTTAGCTTGGTGGGTTTGTGGGACGCCTAATAGTGGGAGTGGGTTTGCCTCTGACTTTTTGGCCTGCATTTGGGGCTCTTTTGCTCAACTCTGATATAAGGGCTTTGCTGTATTACTATATTTTTGTTTTGTCATGTTTTGTTGTTGACTCTTGGATGCCTGCTATTTTGTGAAGGAAACTGAGGGGGAAGAGGAATGGGTCTGGGAGAAAGGGAAGGTGGGGAAAAACTGGCAGAAATAGAGAAAGGGGAAATGTATGAGGTTGTACTGTATGAGAGAAAAATCTATTTTCAATAAAAATAAAACAAAAATACAAAACAGTCCTTCATGGCTAATCCTCACCATCAATTTGAATAAATTTGCAATTACTTAGTATATACAACTCTGGCTATACCTGCTAAGGGGTTTCCCGAGAAATTTAACTGAAGGAATATGAATGACAGCATCTCATGGTTCTGGATAACAGGAAAAAATGTTGAGAAAGCAAGCTGAGCACTGCATTCTTCTCTGCTTCTTGACTGCAGATACAATGGTAACAGCTGGCTTGTGTCTTCCCATCATGACAGATTGAATTCCTTCTTGAACAATGAACCACAATTAATTCACTTTTAACAGACATTTGGTCAGTATGAGAAAATTAACTAAAATGCATCTTTCATATTAATATTCATTAGGACCAAAAGTGAATAAATATGTGTTACTTTGCTCTTTGTATGAATTTAACGATGTCTTCACCTAGTCACACACTATGAGGTTTTATGTATGGCTCATGTTGCCTTCCCTCCCTCTCCTTCAGCTCCAGTAAGTCCTTTGAAGGACTCTGCCTTCTATCTTGCCCAGGACTCTGCTTGGATGTCACCTTCCTTTCATTGAAGACTCTTTTCCTTTCCTTCTTTTGTTCAACAAATATTCACAAAGCACCCACCGCTACATGACATAAAGTACGAGTTCCTGAGTTTATGCCATTTACTTTCTAGTGGGAGAAACAGAACATAGGCAATAATCAGATTATATAAATAAATAATAAAACACAAGATGAGGATGGAAACCACAGTAAGGTAATCAGGCATGGAAGAAATGGGAGGTAATAAAAGTAGTCAGAGAATCCCATGTGTCACTGATGTAGGAGGGATCATTAATGGTCTCTGTGGTACAGCATAGGAATGAAATTATTAATAACATATCATATGTATATAAACGGGTCCATTCATTCATTCATTCTACAAATATTCAGGGAAAACATCCTTACTCTAGGCAATGCATTAAGCACTCAGCAAAGTAAGAGATACTCTGTCAGTCATGTTATGAAATTATGAATTTGTTATATAATAAAACATTCTGATAAATACTATAAAGGGTCAGTGAGATGCTATAAAATTCATAATGTGATGACTGAAGCTTATCAGGGAATAAGAGAAGATTTACCTGTGAAAATTATCTTTGAAAAGTATCTCTGAGTTGAACCAAAGATGAAAGGTGAAGGATGGTTTGTCCTGGGGACTGAAGAACATGCATATTAAAAGTCTTATGCCAGGACATTAAAGGCACTACATATGTTCTTAGTAAACAAAAGTTATTTTAGATTTTTTTAATGTGACCTTGATCACTGCATTTAATAGTTCCTATTTTAAAAGTAAGAATGTGAACAAAGAAGTTTTAAAAATTTAGTGAGCTTAACCTTAGTTAACAGCCTGTTATTTGCAAGAGAATTACTGAAAAAAAAATAAGGGTAGTAGATATTTGTAGAATGAATGAATGAATCTTTCATTGTCCCATCTTTTGTTGTTATTGAAAGTAGATTTGTAATAATCTTATTTCTAGGGTATTATTGAAAACTAAGTTTCTTTCAGGTTTATTGGGTCATATAAAAGAGCTTAATTTCAAACACAGAAAGTCTGCAACACAGAGAAGTGTTCCATTAGAGGTCTCGATTCATGTAGTTCTTATACGATCACTGAGCATTGAAATCTTGTATAGCTTCCAACACTTCCAGCATTCTGCCTCCAACATGTATGGAACTAGTATCTAAAGAGTTAGCCTTGGTTTGTAAAAAGAGAATGCACACAATCTCAAAAACAGAATGAAATGTAGAGATGGAACACAGCTACAGATTAACAATGAGAACTGAGCTTTGAAGGCTATCCTGAAGCTAGTACAAACATATTTCCATGAGGGAACAAGAAAGTAGAGTACAAAAGACCACAAAGAGGTCATAAGAATCTGTTGCAGAAAGGAAGTCAAAATGAGGAAAACCACGGAGCTAGAGTCAGTAGGATAGAACATTGGATCAGCTCCCATGGTGGAGGGAAGATAAGAAAAGTCCATTTAAATCATACATCTTCCTTATGGGGTTAAAAATAAGGGCAACTTAAAAAAATATGCATCTCACTCCTCCCCACCACCTCCTAAACCATCCCTTCACAAAAGTAGGAAGAATACTGAAGGGAAGATGTCTGGTTGATCTCTTCTACCAAATTAATTTTCCTCACCCCCATATGTCAATCGTTACACGCAGCCTGTTCTAAATTTTGATCTAGTGCATTATTGATGAGCTCTTAAAAGGAGATGAGAACAATGATCTCCCACTCTCTTTCCAAGAGAAAAAATCAGCATGCAGAAAAGAATCGACAGTTTAACTCACGGGAGCCATCTCGCTAGTCAGATAATCACATTTATGGCTTTCCCTTTCACAAGCTCCTGCTACCTTATTGGAGAACTATCTTTGTAGCCCTACTGTCTATAAAGCACTCAACTAAGAAGTCAACACATTTACCAACATTTGGTTATATTTGTATTAGCTTCCATGAGTATGACGAGCTATTAAAGCTGTTTTTCTGTGCTCAGAGTAGTTCTAAACAATACCCCATTCACATTTCACACTGTGCACTTCTGATCCTTTCAGGAGATCATTTTGTATCCCAGTATCTCTTTTGGATAATCAGTGCTCTTTTATTTCTTAGTGTTACATTGTTTTATAAATGCCATGTTAAAGATGGATATTATTTTTTAACTACAGTTTTCTATGCTTGGCTTGAGCATTCGTAATTAGAATTCAATTTCTGTATTGCCAACATAATAAATTATATGAAAATGATTTAGAGAGACCAGTGCGGAAAGTCGGCCTATTTTTATACATCACCCCCATAAATTGACAAGTATGACCATTTGAATCGCAAAAGGACAAAAAATATTCTGTTTAGAGAAATAATCTAGACTGCGTTCAAAGAAGTAAACAGTAATTAATTCACTTAAAATTACTTTTCTTGACTCAGTGAGTATTTTTAAGTGACTTGACTTTAATTCGCTTGTGACACATTTTGACGTTCATAAAGCACTAATTACCCATTGCAGAAGCAAAATATATTTACAGTAGAAAGACTTGAGTAAAAGAAGAATGGCTAGAAGAATAAGTAGGAGGAAGAAAGGTTGATAACGGGGCAGAAAAGGAAGACAGAGAGGAACAGGAAGTAAGGGAAGGCAGACAGGAAGAAGAGAAGGAGGAACGGAGCATTTATTACCACACCACCCAAATGCAGCTACTATTTTCCAAGTTCGAGAAGATTTTTTTTTCTAGGACAGCCAAAATTTTCTAAGAAAATTGCTATCATACTCTACCAGTTTATAATCTGATTATCTCCCTGAATAAAGTATAGATATTTCCGTAATATTTTTATAATTAATATTACTTAGAAATGATATATCATTGCATCTAAAATTATAATATTTATTATGCCTTTAAACATTGACACCTACACTCTTTGTAAAATATAACATGCTGTATTGTTTGGATTTGGATAGATAATGATAGATGAATAGATGGATGGATAGGTAGGTAGGTAGGTAGGTAGGTAGATACATAGATACATACATAGATAGAAAGAAAAACAGAAAAACAGAATTGAGATAGATAGATAGATAGATAGATAGATAGATAGATAGATAGATAGATAGATAGATAGATAGATAGAAAAACAGAAAGACAGAATTGTAGTTTGGTTTATTTTTTAAAAACACACACACATTTTTTTCGGGTTTTAATATTTATTTCTGACTGTCACTGTTTGCAACGCCTATAGCTAAGATCTGTTTTTCTGTAGTTGGGGAACACACTGAGTCCAAGTTCCCTGCAGGGGACCAAGTAAATGGCATGCTCCCTAGCAGCTTTCAGTAACTCTTAAGATTGCTCTAAGAATAGTCTGTTCCTTCTACTATAGGTGTGATAACTCTGAGGTATCTACTTATTCCAGCTACATGGGTTTTCCTTGGGGCCAAGGCTCAGCAGCCCACCATACCCAGTGTCTAATGTGCATTATTGAGCATGTTCTCCTGTGGCACATCTTCATCTCTCTCCTGGTGATTTGTAGCTCACAAATAAATTAATCAAATCTGAATTTTTATCTCTGAAACTGTATCTGTGTGATCCCATATTAGACAGGAAAAAAACTACCTAGAAATGAAACTTCTCGTATGTCCGAGTAGGTGATAATTTGTGTGCGCGTGACTGCTTACTTGTTCGTGTACTAATGCACTGGGGTGTATGCCCAGCATGCCTGCGAAGGTTAGAAGACAACCTTGGAGAACAGTTCTTGCATTCCACTTTGCAAGATACGCATGCTCTTATTGCTTTGCCAGGTGATTCTCTCTTCTCTAACTCCTCTCTCTCTGTAGGAGCGCTGGAGCCACGCCATGCCTGACTTTACACAGGATTCTGTGAAGGCGAACTCAGGTTCTCACACTTTCGTAGCAAGTCTTTTCATCCACTGATCTATCTTCTCAGTTTCATTATGATACTTAGGTACGTGTTTTCCCTTCTTAAATATATTACGTTCTTGATGGGGGGAAAAACCTGGCACCAGGTAAACTAGTGTGGCAGGTTTTTCTGTCTATCTGCTGCTTTTATTGGTTAATGAATAAAGAACTGCTTTGAGCCAATGGCAGGGAAACACAGAACTAGGAGCGGAAAGCTAGGCTGTATGCTGGGAGAAAGAAGAGCAGAGTCAGAGAGAAACCAAGGAGCCACTGGAGATAGACACTTGGAACTTTACCCCATAAGCCACAGCCATGTGGCGATATACAGATGAATAGAAATGGGTTAAATTAATATAAGAGTTAGCCAATAAGAAGCTAGAGCTAATGGATCAAGTAGTGATTTAATTAATACAGTTTCTGTATGATTATTTTGGGTCTAAGCTATCTGGGCAGCTGGGAACCAACAAGCAGCCCCCTTCAACAGGAAACCACCATGAATCCACAAAAATTAGACTCCTAGCTAAGATTCCTAGCAGTAGTGGAGAAGGTGCCTTGGCTGGCCATCTACTGTAACTAGATTGGTTACCCTATGTTCTCAGAAATATCCTATTCAGTAACAAATGGAAGCAGAGGCAGAAATCCACAGTCAAGTACTAGACTGAGAGGGATTGTGTGAGCCAAGGGGGTCATGATGGGAAACCCACAGAGACAGTTGGCCTGAGCTCATGGTCTCGACCAACAGTTAGCGAGCCTGCATGGGACCGACCTAGACCATCTGCATGCATGTGACAGTTGTGTGGCTTGGTCTCTGTAAGGCTCCTAGCAGTGAGACCAGAACCTGTCTATAACACTTATCTGACATTTGGGAACTTCTTCCCCATGTTGGATTACCATGCCCAGCCTTGATGCAAGGGAAGGAGCTTGGACCTGCCTCAACTTGACGTGCCATGCTTTGTGCAAGCCCATGAGAGGCCTGCCCCTTTCTGAATGGAGGAGGAGTGAGTGGGGGGAGGGTGGGCGAGAAGTGGGGGGTGGCACAGGAGGAGAGGAACGAGGGGAAACTGCAGTTGCTGTGTAAAATAAATTTAAAAAAATGTTATTTATATAAAAATAATTTAAAAAATTTAAAAATTATGCTCTATCATGTACATGGATTTACCATAATCTTGACAAAAAGTAGGTATTTCATGTTTGTAAGGGCAGCTAAGTTTGAGAGGCAAAATTAAAATGTATTTAATATAATTTGTTTTGTTACTAATGAGGCGATTTATTTTTAAGGCAACAATTATCATTTACATATTTTCTTGTGTGACTTTTGAGTTATTGGCCGGCATTTTAAGATTTTAATTTTGTTTACTTGTTAGTGTCTGCAGGTGGGTATGTGCATGAGTTCTGGTGCCAACAGAGTCCAGAAGTGAGCATTAGGTCCCTTTGGACTGAAGTTACAAGCAGTTGTTAGTTAACCAGCATGGGTGCTAGGAACAAAACTCAGCCTCTTTTAAGAGACATATATCCTCTGAACCGCTGAAACCTTTCTGCAACCCTCACAGTCTCTATTCTAATTGGATAACTCTTGTTTTTATTCACCTTGTGACCTCTTTTAATATTAATGGTATCTCTTACATTGTAAAATTAGCTAGTTGATCCTTTGCACTAACACAGTATTTACCTCCTAACCAACTGGGGGCACGGGTGCATTTCTTCAGTGTGCCGTGTCTTATATGATAGAGGAATTATCTATGTCTTTATTGGCAAGCCACAATTAAAAGATGGAGTTGTAAAAGGAAATGCTAAATTAGTTTACTTGTATTGGTAGTTAATGTGGTAGTGAATATGCATGCCAAATGCGGAACTGTCTGCAATTAAAAGAGGCAATGCTCTCTTGCATTATTTTCATTCTAAAATCTCAGTGGCCCTAACTTAACTAGTCTCCATACATTCCCACTGCCTTAACCAGGAACCGTTACCTTATTTATCTTCTCCTAAGGATTAGGACTACAAACCCACATTAAGAGCTTCTTAGACTCAGTTGCTATCTAAATATAATGAACCAGTGCCATTAAATCAAATTTCGAGTACCAACAGGCATTCTGAGGAATAAATTAGTCTTTATTCTTTCTAACAAGTTGTCTGTTCTGACCATTTTTGTGATCTCATTTCTGACCTCGATTAAGACAATTCAGACTTTATGGTTTTTTAAAAGCATTTCTACTAATGCATCATTATCATCTCTGGGTAATTTGAAAGGCTGATGAAACACAAATGTCATTCTGGGTAACATGCTCTGAGCTGAGCTAATTCCCTAATTTACAGAATTGGACTGCTGTTGACTGGGTATCTCTGCATCAATGACTCTGATTGGACAGACCTTATGTTTAGACTATTTATTATATTATTTCTAATCAATTTCCCTTTTTATTGTCACAATAATTCCAAATCTTGGCTGGTTGCCTCTCCACCATGAGCCAACGTATTTCATAATAAAACATGCTAAATGATGAAGCCTAAATGATTCGGCAGCCCTGGGAAAGCAAAGTAATGCAGGTTTCTCCTTGCTACACTGCCTATCTGTCCTCTACTCCAGGAAGACCTCTGAGCCTCATTAGACACTTCCTTCATCTTTGGCACTGCCTTAGAAATTAGGATGGAAGAGTTACAAGCCCACTTCCACAGACCAGGAACTTCTGACACTTAGAAGACTGGAAGATGAAGAAGTTTCTGTAGCTCATTTAACAGTACTTCTCATCCTGTGGGAAATGACCCTTGGGGGCTCCATATCAGATTTCCTCCATATCAAATATTTACATTATGGTTCATAACAGTAGCAAAATTACAGTAAAGAAGGCACAAGAGACTTTATGTTTGCGAGTCACCACAACATGAGAGACTGAATTAAAGGGTTGTAACATTAGGAACGTTGAAAACCACTGACATAGAGGATCTCGGTGTCCAAGGAGTAAATAAATTATGTATGTATGTATATGTATGTATGTATGTGTGTATGTATATATATGTATGTATGTGTGTATGTGTATGTATGTAGGTATGTATGGTCAGAGGAAAAGTTACACACTTTGCTCTCTCCTACATTTATGTGCATTCTAGGAATCAAATTTAGGCCTCTAGAATTGTGTTGTAAGCACCTTAACCCATTAAGTCATCTCTTAATCCCCCTTTTTTTTTAAAAAAAAATACAGAGCATAAATGAAGATGTAAATAAAAATTCCACATTTATAGACCAAGATAATTAGGTGTATCCCTCAGTTTTAAAATAGTTTTACTGTTAGGAATTACCTGTCCTTTTACCTAGAAACTTTAGAACTGAAAGTCTTATCCTAGGGAAATATCTGGGGATGTGTACTGAGATTGATATAAGTGTGATCTTCAAGTCCTGCTTAAAAATGACCAGCAAAGGACAACTGTCAAAACTGTCAACAAAAAGAGCACACAATTAATTAGATGTTGATTATTGCTGATATCTGGAACGATGAAAGAATATGAGTTATGCTTATAATTGGTAAAACAAGATTCACAAGTAAGGGATGATTCAATTTACTGTTTTCATTTACAGCACACTACACATGCTGAAAGTGAATGAAAGATGAAATGTAAGACCAAAATGCCTGGAGGAAAACATCATGAAAAACTTCTTGGCAAGGTCTTGGTAAGGATTTTTTGGATGTGATAACAAGCACAGAGAAGTCAAAAATAGAGAAGTAGGAACTATATCAAACTAAACATCTTCCACTGAGCAAAGAACATAATCACCAGAGTAGAGCTAGGAATGAAAGAGAATATTAGTACACCATAACCAAGGTTATGAGGCTGATATCCAAAACAGAAAAGGAAGTCCTAGAAAAATTCATTAGCAAACCATCTAAACAAACAATAAACTCCCAAAGAGCCCAATTTAAATATGAGTAAAGGAACAGAATAGACATTTCCTCAAGAGAACACTATTAATGAAAAACAAATAGGATTCTCAGCCAACTGGTAAGTGAAAAGTACCCCTAACATTATTAATTATCTGGAAAATGTAAATCAAGCCACAATGAAATATCATCTCATGCCTGTTATCAAAACAAAAGCCAAGCTTCAGAGGTTCATGTGGAAGTAGAAAAGGGGGAAATCCTTGTGTAATTTGGGGGGAATGTAATTAGTAGACTGGTAGTGCCTCAGAAAGTTAAAACTCAAACCATTGTAAAAGTCAACAATTTCACTTCTGTATTTCTGCTAAAGAAATTGAAATCAGAATTTCTAAGAGATAACTAGAGGCCCATTTTTGTTGCATTTCATTATAAAAATTATTCAGCATACAAAAGGATAAAATTCAGCACACAAAATTCAACGCAATAGCTATGTGAATAATGACGTATATGTAGTGTGTGCACATATACAGAATTTAAGTATACAAAGAAGAAATACTGCTATCGGTGAAATCAACTTAGGAGTGGACTCAGGGGACATTATGTTAAGGGAAACAAAATAGATGTTGAAAGACAAATATCACAAGAGCCACTTACAGTAACAAATATAAAATAGTCAAATTCTTAGATGCAGGGAGGAGAATGGTGGTTTTCAGTGATGTGAAGAAACCAAGACCTCTTAGTCAAAGAGCAGAAAGTTGTGCTCATGAAAGATAAAACAGGTGTTTCCTCTACTGGTGGTGCTGTTTAGGAAAGATGTCAACTCTTAAGAAGTGAGAATTCATTGAAGGAAATGGGCCACTGGCAGCATGTCTTTGGAGGTCATGTCAGTCTCAAGCCCCTTCCTTGCTCTCTGCTTCCTGTCTTCCTTCACTGGACTAGGCTTATCAGCACACAGTCTCACCACCATGATATTCTTACCCCTCAACAAGTTCTCAGTCTATGAAGTCTATGGCTATGTGCTGAGCCTTCTGAAATCATGAACAAAAATAAATCATTCACGTTGATGTCAGGTATTTGGTCACAATGATGAGAAAATGACCACAAAAATATTGACATTATATTAAATGTTCTTGTAAAGATTAGTAGCAAATGAAAAGATAATGAAAACTTTGAAATGTAAGCTACCTTTGTTATGGTGTTTTATCATAGCTATAGAAAGTGACTGATACAAGAATGATGTTCGCATCACAGTCATTTCGATCTCCAAACTCAACAAGTTATAGATACCACATTCATGTAATTTTTTCATAAGCCAATTATATCTCAAAGTGTTTTAAAAAATATCTATAATAACATGAGTAAACAAGCTCAAAAATATGAGATGATTAATTTATATACACATATAAAAATAGAAATATAGACATACTAGTATGCTAACTAGTTGTAGGTATATGATGGAGCTATGAACATTTACTTGTTTCTATTTTATGTAGCTAAACATTCTACTAGAAATTATAATTGTTACAGCTAGAAAATTATATTAAATGTAACTTTGAAATATCTGTGTGGCCCAATTCTGAACTGAACCAATTGTACATCTCTCACAAGTAAAGCAGCATGGCATATGTTGTTGTGGAAAGGGTGGCATGAGTTATTTGTGTCTCACTTATCTGTAGGAAGCTGGCCAGCCTGTTTGGGGTGGGGCAGTTCTCTACTTGTGGTAGCTAATTAGTGATGATAGCTGCAATCTGCAATGTTGCTGCTTTGCTGAAGTGGGAATCGTCCCTTTTCTTTGTCAACTGCTGACTTCTTTTAGAAACAATACACCTCAAGGTTATGTTTTTAAATAATCAGGCTTGTTTGTGAATTTAAGATCTCATTTATCAAGCAGGTAACCATACCAATATATTAAGGGAATAAAAGGGAAGGAAAGAAAGAAAGAGAAGAAAGGAGCCAGGAACTTGAAGAAGGGAAGGGATAGACACAATTTGGTTGAGTCCTCAGATTGCAAAGTGCCTACAAAATAATGACTTTTTAAAGCTCTCTAGTCCAACTTTGTCATGCAGGTAGGAACACGGAAAGTCTATCGAAAAGACAACATACATGGAGTTAAAGACAAGGCATAGATCCCAGTAGGCAATTATCGGTCAATGTTCTACTGCTGTGAAGAGACACCATGACTATGGCAACTCTTACTTTTTTAACAAAGCATTTAATTGATGCTTGTTTACAGTTTCAGATATTTAGTTTGCTTTCATTATGGCCAGGAGCATGGCAGCACATTGGCAGAATGGTGCAGGCGAAGAAGCTAAGAGTTCTACACCCAATCCACAGGCAGTAGGAAGACAGAGCCATTGAGCGTGGGTTGGGCTTCTGGAACCTCAAAGCCCATCTCTGGTGACACTCTTCCTCCAAGAAGGCCACACCTAACCCATCAACACCACACCTCTTAATCTTTCTAAATACTGTCACTCCCTGATGACTAAGAATTCAAATATGTGAGCCTCTGGGGGCCTTTCTTATCCAAACCACCACAGCAATGAAGCAAATTAAGAAGGGGCTAGCAGGAAAACACTATTTAACCCGATTTGGTTTTGCACTCTTTATTTTCTGTTCTGGTGTATTTCAAGGATTTCTACTAAGGCAACAATAGATTTCCTGGAAGCGGAGACTTTAAATTAGTTGGGCAAAAATGGAAGAAATCAATATAGAAGAAATGTAACTTCAAAGAAAATTGAAACTAAAAATTCCCTGTGTCATAAACCTAAGACTATAATATCAAGAAGAAATGCACTCCAGTGTTGTGTTTACCTCAGAGTTTCTAGGCAACCTATGAGCTTTCGGTCAGCTCTAACCTACATGGCAGGGTGCCATGGAAAGAACATAGAACTTGGTGTTCACTGGACCTGTTTGATAAGTGCTGCGTGACTTTTCCTGTGATGTCCATTTCTATTCACCACTGACGAAGAGGACAACAGACCAAAGAAATGATGAAATTCACACCCAGCTTGATGAGCCAATGAGTTCACTGGGCTCCGCCCAGGAAGGAGTGTTTTCAGATGCACCACCAAAACCCCCCATGCCAACGTGAGAACTACTCAGAAGGGCTGAATTATTGGAGTTCTCTGAGCAAATAGCACTAGCACCTTGGCTATTGAGGACCTTCTCCAAATAATTATTTACAGCGTATATAGGCTCAAGGGCTGCTTGAGCCTTCCCTATGCCAATTGGCCCAATCTTAGGAATACCTCATGCAGATGAGCCCTGCTGCTTGAGTTAAGAGGAAACAGCCACAAAACAAATCCTACTTGTCTACTTGGCTTAAGTAGATTTATCACTGGATTCCAGCTCCTTTCCTGCTTTAAACTGGGAATAAGTATTAAACACTTATTCAAATTAAAGAAAATGTATATGCATATATGTGCTGCCACATTGACGGTATTACGTGAATATACCCTTTCTTCACTTACCTTCACCAATCACTCGTGTTTCCATATACGGCCCACCATGCCCACACAAAAGAGTGCCTTTACTTACTCTTTTTATCCTATTTTTCAAACATTTTCATCTCTAAAGTTCCAAAGCCTGTTCAAGATCTCAAGGTTTCACATCTACACTCACTCTAATATTTTAAATTCTAAAATGTGCCCCAAAGTACATCATTAGTACTCCCAGGACTGTCCCTGAATAAGAAGTAAAGGTTAAGGTTCATCCATTCTCAATACAGTGACCATCACTAGTGAAGTTTCAAATCAAGAGGAAAGAAGGTGGTGGAGGCAGGGGGTGGGTATATACATGTGCTCATAGTCAGTCTCACTGATTTGTTCAGGCTAGAACCTGTAAGGCTGTTGAATGTATATGTGCATATATAACATTCAATTAGCAGCTAGCCTGTATCATACACTATTATATCTCCTGTATATGAAGTGTTAGCTCACAAGAACTAATGCTGATCACTATACCAAAATATGGGTAATGGTCTGAGTATATAGGCACCTTGACCTCTAAACAAGATCCAGTTGCTTTGACTTAAGCTATACTTGCTCTCTTTTCCTACCTCACCAGAGTCTAGCCATAATCACTGGGGTTGTGTTCTTTGTTCTTTGAAGCTTACCTTTGTCTTTGCCATTTGAACCTTAAAGTTTTAGACTCACAGTTGTGAGTCAGACCCAGATGTTGTATCAAAAACAA